TATGTATATATACCCCTATGCCTGGGGCAGTCGTCTACGTTACCTTGTTTAAATGAGGGCACAATGACAGATTGAGTAGAAGTTTTCCCGAACAAGAATTTGTTTACAAATCAAGTGAACGATCCTCATTGAGGCAGGACACGAGGACCTACAAGCGGCTCTGAATAATGTTACCTGGAGCGTATTTGTCTCCGTGGCCCGATGACGTTTTGAGGAGGGGCAAACTAGTTTACTAGGAACTAAGTAAAGACTGGAACTCAAGGGTGAGTTTAAAAAGGCTATACGAAATACAGTTATAGTAGCAGATTGCTGAAAATATCCCGTTCTTACATCTGGAAACTGACTTTTTACACAAGAGTTAGCTCACCAACAAACGGCTCCATGAAATACTGCTGACGGCACAAGAGATTTAGTTCTTTCATCTTTCACTAAAGGACGAATAAAGGAATAGCTAAGCTATAAATAAAAAAGGAAGGACATATAATGATAAGCAATAAAGAACACGTTTCTACAAAGCATTCAGTATTACTGCCCGATTGCATTAAGTCCGAATGAGACTGTTATATGGAGTAGTGACGGCTCAGAACGTCCTTACTGGCAATATTCTGATTTCATTCAATATGGGCCCTGCACAACTACTAATTGTCAATTTTGGGTAGACCAATATCGACGTCCAGTCATTTCCTTGGGGACATTTTCAGACGGTGGCGCTTCTCAAAGTTAAGGCACTGGCACATAATTCTCAAATTCTCGTACGTTGAATAGAGATCCGCCGGAAAACCTCGCGGCTGGTTTCGCTCTGAAGCTGTCAGTCAGGCATTTCGCTCCAAGCATAGGTCGTTAACCATAAAAAGAAATGCAATCGATGTCGCGTTCAGTAAATGTCGAAAGAATTGGTAGCAGTATTTTCACTGAGAAGTTACTTACTCATTTGCGACGGGCACAAATGCCGAGAAATCCTGGCTCGAGGACAGCTTCAGATCAGGATACACATTACCTACGTGGCTTTAGTTAGAGAAAAAATTGTGACACTCTTCCAGCGCCTAGCTGCCATGCAGCCCAAAGGAAGCACGGGGGCTGAAATACTGTCAGGTTGCCCAAGCCTGAGACAGAGAAAGTTGAGATACAGAGGTTGGGTTCGGACCACGGACCTTCTGGTCAATAAATTCGGACTTGAGCCATCTCGCTCTGGTTAGAAAGCATCATTAATACAATAACCCGAAAAAACTAACGGAACGAGATTTTCACTCAGCTCACTTGGATAGAGCAGGAGTTGGTGGCGGATGCTGGTTCACAAAAATGAGACTCAAAACTGCAAACGCGAACTGAACACTTTCAGAACAGTTGAGCGGCTTCAGTAAACCCGGCAGCACCTTTCGCGGTCGCAGCCCAAGAGCTGGCTAGCATGAAAAATAAGTGAAAGGGGGTTGGTAAACAGAGTTAGTATAGCACTCACCGAGAATCACCTGGGAACTTGAGGGAAATCCAATAGGGAACACGTGAGCCTGGAACTTCGTACAACTGTTGAGAGCTCAAAATGGACAGGCCGGATAGACACTGCTGCAAACATAGACGATTGGATGAAGATTACATTAATATAGAAATATCGGAAACCTCAAGGGAATAAAAAAAAGGTGAGTATAAGCAAGTGGAGTTCACGCAAACAAAAAGAGAATGAATAGTAAGTAATTACCTAGGAACTGTTTACACTACGCCGGCTAGATGGTATGCGGATATCTTTGACGCATTCGACTCTATACACCCGGACAGAATTTTGCAGATCTCGATACTGAGTTCACAATACGTACTGGTTGCAGTTACCGTTATGTTGCATAAGATGGTTCCTTGTGTGACCCCCGCTTCCCAGACAGAGCTACTTGTAGGCCTCTATCCAATACACACAAAAAATTATCCTTTTGGTCCGAAGCAAACAACCGGATAGTCACAATATGAGGGGTTACAATAAATTCATGTATCGGCGCCATGTTGATGGCATACCTGAGACACGTCTGAAACCCAATCCGACGGCAGTTCAGCTTCTCCGTGGGACTGTATGGAATGCTTAATACTCTCAGTTTTCCAGCTTTGCACGCAGAACCCAGAGACAATGGCTACAAACAGAGCGGTTTCCGAAAGATTCTAGGTCCAGCTAGGCCAAACCACTACGTCAATTGAGGCAGATCGTTCCATACAATACTGAGTATTGTACATGTTTATCAAAGTAGGCGCCTTAAAAAGTTATGGAATGCGCTAAATTTCTATCTGGGGAATCACACAAAGAGATCTAACACTGGGCAGTGAAATACGGTAATCTCTGAGCTGATCGGAAAGATGTTTCGATCAATAGTTCTCCGTGCACGTTCTGCTGCTCGTAAACAGAGTCTGGATGTCGTCAACGCGACTGCGAATAACCCTGGCTAGAGAAGTGGCTTCAAAAACAAATCAATAGCGGTCTTCCTGTTAGTTTTTATCCAATTTATCAGTCTGCTCACTGGAATATGCACACGCAAATTGATAAGAGAATGGGGGAGCCGTTTTTGTTACATCCTTACGCCTTCAAGCGTCTGCGTAATCTCAAGTTTAAGTGTGCTTTCACACATCGGACAAAGTATATTTACTTCTCCACAAAAAAGATGTGAAACATGGCAGTAGAAACGTTTACTTGTATAGCATTTTTGTTTACCTTACACAAGAACACTGCCAAAGTTGCATGTATACGTCACAGAAACATGGAACCCACTGGCGTGGTATGGACGAAAAAAATCTTGTGCGATGGGGTATTTGCAAGTGTGGGACTCAAAGGTTGTATATGATGTTGCTGTACACTGGAAAATATCAAAATGGATAAAATGCCGAAAGCGACACTGAATCCAACAAGCGAGTGGCAGTGGGAGATTAACATATGGCCGAAGACATCCGGAAGGCAACGCCAGTCAATGCTAATCATTTAGCCCACCAACCCGCCCAACGGGTTTATTTGACATCCGTATGCAGTAAGCTCAGTTCAAAGGTTAAAAAGACGACTATGAGGTTCGACGATACCATACACCATATTCGTCTAGTACCCTGTTACACTAGGCAAACAGACAGGCGGCAGGTTCATTTGGCTGTAAGCGGAATATCCATCCATGTAGTTCAAAGGTTAAAAAGACGACTATGAGGTTCGACGATACCATACACCATATTCGTCTAGTACCCTGTTACACTAGGCAAACAGACAGGCGGCAGGTTCATTTGGCTGTAAGCGGAATATCCATCCATGTAACAATTAGAACTGACGCGTTCATTGTGTACCACTGCGGTTCGTTGAGTCGTGTATTCTAAATGCATCGTGTTTGCCCCCGGGCCTTGCCGCTCACTGGAACACCGGGTTGCGGTATATGCGTATTCAACTGACCATTTGGTTTGTTCACGTGACCATAACCTTATCAATGTGAGTTGAAGGGATTGACTGAAGTGCATTCTGCAGGAACCGCCGAATTAAAGTACACTATATGGAAGGACTAATTTGCAAGAGGCCCACAACAGAGGTTAGATGAAATCTCGGTAAATGCCGGTTCGTAAACGCGTACGAATGTGCAACTGACCTCAAGCTACACACCGGCAGCTGACGACCTATGTCCATATTTAGGCTCATGTTTGAGTAAACTAGCACATCACCTCATCCAAATTCACCTTATAACACCATTTTATCCAGGTGAAACAACACGGCAATGGAGTGACAATGATAACACTACAAATGCTGTTTATTTTGTTCCAGAGACTATGGAAAAAATTAAATCTCCAAACTTAAGTTCAAAAGATTCTTCTGTACTGAAGAGAAAGAGGATGGGAGCTTAATGCATGATATCGTAGTGTGATGTAATCTCCTTTAGCATACGAAAATGCATGATTGGTTAGTTGGAAAACGTGTTCCCCTCGAAGGACTCGGCTAAAAAGATGAACAACTCCGGAGCTCATTAAACTTTTCAAGAAGCGGGCCTCGCTGCGAACCTCTAACTACTGACGCGTGAACTAGCTGTGGAGGAACCGTCATGCACGGCTGTGTGGGAAGCAAGTCAGCACTGGGACGACAATCATATTCCATGGACTATCAAGGTGGATCCTTGAGCTAACGCAAGGTACGATAATTGTAGTGGAATGATAAATCGATTCATTACGACTAGCTATGCCAACAAAGCAGCAATCGCCTTTTTATTGGTTTCTCGTCTCAACCCGCGATACGTGACCAGCAACTTGGTCGCGCCTTTCTGAAAATATGGACAGTTTGACGTCCTTCTTATGCATCAGTGACTGTGGATGTGAATTCTAGGGAATTGTGCTCTAAATGTGGCTTTTTGCGTGGTAGTTGTTAGTCGCTTCCAAGCTAGATGATAGAAACCACTACTGAAGTAATGCGTAAGCAGAATGATGATCCGTCGTCCAGATACAACCTTTCTTTCGACGCACGACTGCCACAGTACGTAGAATGGAGGAGGGCCAGATTGTCGAGAATAGAATTTACGTGTGGGGCTTTGAGCCCCAGATCACGTCTGAGACTGCACGTAATCTGGAGCTTAGTGTAGCCATTATAAGTAAGAAACGCTTCACAGTGACATTCGCACACTCAGGTATTATGGACTTTAGCGATAGGAGGCGAGGCATTAGGTAAAGGTCCTGCGTTCTTCTGACGGCGTATCTATATTCATTAAAGTAATCCTCCAGTCTGCCACGTCAAAACATTGTACAGTCCTAGCGAAAGAAACTTCCGGTTACACTCAGGATCATTTTCATAATGGCTTAGGTGTAAGATCGCTGAGGGATAAAGACGTAAATGAGGTGTCGACAGTTGCGGCAGACGATCCAAGACATGTGGAACATACGCTCACCATTAGTCACCCGAGTATCAATCAGGTGGCCCATGGGCAAATACGGACCGAATTGTAAGTAGTGCAGTACTGCCCCGTAAACGAAAATTAAAAGACTGCTGTATTGGCATCCCGAGTTTACTTCAGCAGAGGAACGTTACATAATCCACGAGACAAGACCGCCAGTACGGTGCACAGATACCTGAAACTGCGACAGTATCGATGTCGTTTCTCTTCAAATATGCAAGTGGGAAATCATGATGACACTTCTACGGGGTCACCAAGTCATGCATGCAGTCACAAGAACCTCGAAGTGAGTTGCGCCAGACAAACGGTAGCTTTTGGCACAATGACTCAGTTTCCATGGACAATATTAGATGGTATCACTGATTTCACTAAAGATCGAGATTAGAGGCACTGCCTAGACCCCAACCCGGAAATTCTTGTGAAGGTCGATCCTTCACAAAGGAAAGCAAGCTCAATCTTAAAGGGAGAAAGGAAGCAAACTATATGGTGGCTGTCTGGCACCGTATCTATCGTGCGAGTTAAAGTAGCAGTAATTGGGACGAACGCAGCAGAAACTCACATTCAAAAATATCTATTCAGCCACAGTTCCTCACTGGTGCTTAATATACTACTGTGTTGCATGCGAATTGATGGTTGCTAAGCTCATGATATGTTCATGGGATACAATCGCGTTATGACGGAAAGACATGTCACATAATAGTGACTGTGAACTTGGAGTCGAGCTAAATGGTTGAAGTTTAAAATCAGGGCAGTCACTGACCTTGGAAATCGTTACTGGGAGTGTAGACATAAAGTCTCGATCGAAAGAGGACTTATTTTGGCAGAGATTCAATGAACGCATAGGTGAATCTGGAGCGCAGGGCGAGGCAGGAACTTCTGGACTATCATCATCCTCGATAACGATTACAGGGGGCTGTTGCTGAGGGCGTCGTCCAGAACGGATGAGACAAGGTGGAAGTGAATCGGCAGAGACTGGGAAAAAACGACAGGCGAGTACAAATATAACGGTACGAAAATTTGTGTTGAGGTAACAACAAAACCCAGTAACGAAAACCTCGTTAAGAGCAAGAGTTCCCAGCAACGGAAGTCTGCTTGAAGTACCCATATGGCTAAGATAGAGCTCGAATATTTCTATGACCAAACTCCATCAATCTTGCAAATATGCGCCTGGAGTGACTCCCCACAGCAACCACTCCGTAATAATGATGAATTCTAGAGTTTGACAAAGGTGGAAACAGCTAACCTTAGAAGCCAATTCGCAAACCCATAACTTCCATCCAATGACCAAAATATGTAGTCGCATGATTTTCCTGCACGTTTCCTCGCTTCAATATCTGTTGGGTGGTTTCGCGCAGTTCATGAACGAACGAATGATTCCTCAAAAAGTGAATAGCTGTGGGCGTCTTTATTCGGAGTTGATAGTAAAACACTTGTTGTGGTGAAAGGGGTGAATGGTTGCCGTAAAAATCAGTCAGTTTTTGAAACTGTCTTTGTGCTTCAAGACAGCTTTTATCTGAACTTAGTAAATAACTTTCCCACAATAAGAAATAAGGATGAAGTATCCGTTTCTCGAAAAAGGTCACTGAGATATGTGATCTCTCCAATGGTTGCTCTCCCCCTTCCTTCGAACTGTCCAACTGATTGTCCTCAAATTTATTCGAAATGTAAATACAAATCCGCCGAAACACCGAATTTAACATGTTGATCAAATGCTATTCCCACTGTGGACGAACAAAACCAAACAGCAGAGGCTCAAATTTCACCTCATAACCGTATTATGATGATCTGCACAGCCGGAATCCCTGACCTGTATCACCTCGCGCCAGAATAAGGTCAACCAGGATTGTCCTCCATTCAAGGAGACGGAAATGAGTAGAGTGGGCTGGTACTCACTTCCTGATGGGCCTGTAATGTCGAACAAAAGCGACGACGAGTAATGCAATGTTCGGTTTGTTCTGGGCTGCGAATGCATCTATCTGAACGCCCAGTGTCCGGTGTAAACCGGAACAGGATGGAGCTAATCTAAAGCCATCAGTACACCTGATTGATCACTCAAGACGGACATGGGCTAACCAGTACGCACCATAATTCAGGTTGGTTTGTGGAGCGATGGTCATCGAAGATTACCGTTGCAACGGACATTTGTGTGTTAAGACACAGAAATGTCCGCTGTTAAGAAGGTCACTTGTATATGCACACATAAAACATGAAAATACAATCCACCAAATGAAACAAAATACAACACGAGACTACAAAAAATACAGTAACGTTCAACAAAGTATGGTACAATGCACACAAATATATGAGTTAGCAATGAGAACAAACGGACAACCTGGTAAGCCGAATCAGAGGCATTATACGGTGTACCATTTAGGCTTCCCAAAGGTTTGGGTGATGGTACTCATGATACCGTACGTTTCCAAGTCGTACCAGTCATTTACCATGTAGGAGAATGTCACAGCTAGATTCCACTCCGGACGGAAGCGGGGACTGGTTACCGCCACTTCTGGAAGAAAGTGCACTAGTGTGGCGTCGTGCAGGCTTGAGTGGTATTGAGTCTCGGTGATCTACCTTACATTTGGAAATATGATTGAAAGACAGTATCACATTCAGTCAAATTATTTTGTACAACAATTCAAAGGTAGAACGTTCTCGAAATGGTGTAACTGTTCCCAACTGTCATCCAGGTCCTCTCCGGCGGAAAGCTGGTGCCGGAGTAATTTCCTGTAGCTTCCAGCTCAAAGGCCTCGAAACGACTACCGAAGATAGTCTTTAGTAAATATTCCAAATTCAAATGAGAACACAAAGATCTACGAGTGCGGTTTTGACAGTTGGTTGTTTAGCGAAATACACTCTTTGCATACCAATTTGGTTTTGACGGGAGACCTATTTGGAACACAGATGAATATCTCAATTATAATGCCGGTTGTTTAGATTAGCAAGTGCGTCGAAATTTGTCAGAAATTTCACCACTGAACAACTAGAACTATCCCTAAATCTTCACGATCCAAGTTATGGGCTTGATGTTCTTATTGGTGATAATCATTATGCAAAGAGATTAAGCCCGGAAAAGAAAGCAACTGTGCTTCCCCCCCCCCCCCCCGACTAAACGCACAGTACCAGGAAGTCGGCCGTCGAATACGGCTTTCACATTCCGGAACACAGATGGCTTCGGTCCGCTTTACACTGGATCGGACAAGGATCGAACTGGAATAGTCTCGTAAATGGTAAAGTAATAATAAAGGCTATGACTAGGATTTGCACAAATTGTTCGGCATGAGGTCGCAAAAGGCCCTCAATAAATCAGCGTGTCAAATATATGTTCAACCTCCTAAGGATGCGCAGGTAGTTCAGTTGTGATCAACTAATGCAAATCGCAATTTTTCACCACCAAGCCAGGGTTGACTGAATTGGCACAAGGAGAGGCAAAGTTGGATCTAGGTGATGGAGGGAGATGGAAAACCACAGTGTGCTTTCATCTACCACAACGCCAGTATGGCGGTGTATACAATCGCTGTCAGATTGAAATATAGTCACAGTTAAACGGTCATTGAGTGGGAACACATTGGAACACTCTGTTCCTCTGTTAGGGTCGAAAATCCACCAGCAAAATCCACTAACGGGCGAACACTGGAAGGTCCTCAAATCACCGATGTTCAAATCACTGCTACTGAGAAACTTGTCGATTAAGAGTACGCAGACTACATCGTCCTCATCTATGAAGACGAAAGTTAATCACAAGTTCCGTTGAATAAACAGACCACCATCATACCGTCTTTCAGTAGGCACGTTGCACCTACAAAGGGTAGGGTCGTGCCTCAGAACGTACCTGAATATGCCACTAACAATGACAGCAGAAACACTGTAGGGCATGAATAATTTTGCGCGCCTCCGTAGTTGGACCAGCTCTGACGACTGAGTTAATGCCCTAATCTCAAAAGGTGCGAGTCACGCCTGTCCAATGCGTCACTGGTGGTGTAAAAAAGACATCACTTGGTCTCAACGGTAGCGTGTACCGGGCAACAGTAAAGACTGTTGCTTCACGGCTGGGAGGCACGACCTTGCGGGCAGATAATCTGAGGCGTCTTAGATGTAACATTCGCATTAAACCGGAGGGCTGATGAGAGTTACATGCATATGATGTCTGTGATTTTCGATGACTCCTTGTGATGTGAATAAATCTGCCTGAATTGATGCCAGTAGTTGGCATCGCAGTTGGAATGGAGTTCGGCTAGGGCTACTGAGCTTGCGGACGCAGCGCCTAAAGCGCAAGAAGCATCCACATTGCGCGTGAATTCGATATGCAACAACGAATCATAATACTCGAAAGTTAGGTCAATGATCCCGATTTCCATAACTTTTACCTACCACCGTAATGTGCTCAGAATCAACTACACGACACGGTTGACGGCGCATGGACTGTAGGTGAAAAGAACAGGAAGACGATTACGAAACAGTGAGATGGAAAGGGCTAGAACAACCCGAAAATGAGTAGGTAGACCCTACACACTCAACTTGGGTTATCAAAATCAAGGGGCAACAAAAACATGGAAACATGCTGTTGAAGATGAAAGGCCGCGCAAGAAGGGGAGGCACGTTGTCAAAAACAGCGAAAATCAGAGTATTTGAAGAGACTGAAAAATGAACAGACTCACCGTTACTATCTTCAGACACAGACTAAAAAGGGGCAAAGGAGAGTACAGCAATGAAAAGAAGTGGAATAAAGAAACTACCATTGTCCTTGTTGAATTCCCTTCAGAGATGAACACAGGGGAAAAACCATTGAGTAGCATTCGAACAAATCACACAAGTCAGCACGTTTAGCATGCGACGTGAGCTACGCTCAGTCACAAACCGACCAGTGCGCATCGTGTCTAGGCATGTTTTGGATAAGCAGAAACCAGTTCATTTAGTTTTATTTAGAGTGGTGAACAAGACCAAGGTCGGAAGTCAACCGCAGTTTATCTGTTTATTTTCCACCTGCGTATTGCTCTGTGCATTTACGAATCCTGGCCGGATTCAGGTATCAAAGAGAAGTCACCTGACGAAAAAAATCGGTTCGCGAAAAATATTTCCGGGATGAACGTTTATTAGAAATAGCTGATTCTCTGTTCACAACAGGAGATCGACAAAACCGTTCCTCCGCAGATGGAAATTTCCTACAACGAGCAGGCACTGTAGACTTACTAAATGAGTTTCCACCTTCCAGTAGCAATGTCTACAGTAGATTCGCCGCCACACCACTAGATAACGTTCTCAATTTGAAATTAAGTAATATGAAATTGAGACTAATTCACGTTTCAAATCACGGAAACGAAATGAGCTACAGCGTCCATTATTCGACAGCGGTCACTTTCGACCGGTGCTGTCAATGGTTGCTATAATAGTTCAGCTCAGTAAAAAGTATGAATTGTCTTTATTGGGCTTCAGTATGATGGTGCTTCTATCCCTGAAAGTCTGGACAAATCGTCTTATTTTAACGATTCTCACACCTCCTGACAACATTTGAACCAACGTTACTAGACCAAACAACATGTAGAAAAAACTGCTAACTTAGACACCAATCTGTTCAGGGCTTGGATAGTATCAAAGTGAAGTCGAATTTTACAAGTGCTCGTTGAAAGGAAACTGAAAGGCGGCGTTTGTCAGTAGAAAATAACAGGCTAGCAGTCTGACTCTCGCCTATACTACCGGTTCATTAGAGTTTCACTAAAAGAATGGCAAAATCCTAGTCCAGGAGCGTGGATTTTCTGTGATCAACTTCGACCAACTTGTATTCGTCAACACACCTAACTGCAGAAATGTCCCGCCATTGAGCCATACATATAACTGTACGGAAGAATAACTCAAAAAGAACTCCCAAGATCGAAAAACGTTTCTACATAATGCACGTTAAAAACATAGCAAGAAGCATTCGTGATAAGGAACTACTCGTCATGAGTACTACGGACAACCACAGACGCGCACTTCTGGCACACAAATAAACTTTTATAGTAAAAAACGATGGCTCAATGCCAATTTTTTTCGACTGCGACGCTGGTGTTTGGCTTGTATTTCTCCCGTAAAATTGCTCAGTGTAATCCACCCGTGCTGAAGGACTTGCTAATGAATGCCCTCCGTGACCTTTGTCACCTTTAGTCGTCCAATCAGTCATCGTGTCAGAAGTCTGCTGCCCACTCGTCTTCCTCATTCGACCTGAACACGCTCCGTTTGTCCTGTTACGTAACCGTATGACAATATCGCTGCCGCAACAGTATCATCTCTGTTCCGCCGTCTCTGCCGCTCACTTGTTCCTTCCACCTATTTCCAAAAACCTAAAGCTTTAGTGTGCGGCCACACTCCTCATCCACATTGTTATCATCACGTGGAATGCGGGAATTTTTTTCCGCAGTGATCTTTTCATGAGAAAACAGTTTCTCTGAACCATGCAGGAAAAATCCCATAAATAATTGTAGTGTCTCGAAATGCATTTACCAAATGGACATCATGTCGCCAAAATTGTTGTTGCACAACCACATGGCAGTGGCATGCCTGGATAGATTTCACGGTAACAATGAGGGTAGCAGTATTTAGTCAGATATACCAAATCGTTGTGATACAACGTGACGCGGATCGATCCAGTCAACAAAAACGAGATGAAGCTTGACAGAAATAAACCGCGTTAGGAAGAGAGCCCGGTGTCCAAAACGCAAACGTTACTGTGACGGGTGAGGGTGTGAACACCGAACAAACTCACTTTGTCATGGTGATAACCCAGTGGATTCGAAGAAGGCATGTTACCCGTGGATCGACGCCGCTGGCGGGGTATTGTCGACCTGCGACCAGCAGATATTCTACTGGTGTAGCATGTTGCAGCAACGGTTGTGCGAAGAACCGGGGACACGGGTGTCGGAGATCGCTCTTTGGGAGTCTCCGGATGACGGTCTGACCTGCGCAAGCTTCTAAGTTGGGCTTTTGTTCGAGGGTGGTTTGATGTTGGTGGCGTGGGTGGATTAGCTTCAGATGAGAAACCGGGGCAAGAGGAGTTCAGCGAGAAATGACTAGAGTCTATTTCCAGGAAGCCGTGATCTGGTCGACGACACTTCGAGAAAGACTTCCTTCGAGCAGGTGCGCCTGACGGATTGGGTAGTTCTATGGGCACCGTAGCAAGTTTTGATAGGTCAGAAAGCTTTGACATAGCCACAGCTAACGACAACGGATAACGTAAACGAGTGCACTTGTAGTGGATATAGGCGGACCGTGTTGGATCATTCTCAGGTAAGAGGTCATCCAGAAAACCGAATGGAAAAGTGAACCGGGATGTTTCGGCTTGCAGTTCTTCTACCGGAGTAACCGTGAAGCCCTCAGAAGGTGGGACGGAAGGTGAGCCAGATGAACTATTAGGTAAGTCCGGAACAACAGTTGTCGGGGTCGTGCAAGAAATCCGAACCAAAGAGTTGCTACAATTCGAGGTAGACGGAGGTGGGGATGTGGGAGAAAAAGTATTCCTCAAAGCAGGAAGATTACTAACGGAGACTATCTGAAGTGAAGCCACAGGAGCGATAGACACCTTGTCGATCGGGAAGGCTCCGAACGTTGAAGTCGGAACACGGGGAGGTTGCATGGCTTTTTCTGGGGGTGGGTAGATTGGAAGAGTGATGGTGACGCTCGGCCTGCAAGATACCACTGGACCGGCACCCGACTGCGTACTGTCGGCCGAGGGGGGTTCGTAATCATGGAGTACATCATCGCACTCAGGTTTGATCCAAGGCGAGGAACTGAGGTAACTATCTGTATCTTCGTTAGCAGCTTTAGGAGATGTTGATGTACTTTTTCCTGAGGTTGAGGAGCTATCTTCATCCACTAAATCGGAACAGAAGTAACAAGGAAGTATTAACATAAATATTGAAAAACCCCAAAAGCTTACATAAACAGAGTGTAACAGTATACTCCAACCATGAGTACTACGAGCAGCTGGGCGAGGTGGACTTTGCATTGACGTGAGAATAAGATGCACTAAGAAAGTGAGAAAGAATAACATCAACCTTCAACTATAGGTTCAAGACAAAAATTCTTGCTTGGTTAGTAACCACAGCGATAGGTGAAAGCCCAAGTAAAAACACGAACAGTGAGTTTTGAATCTGAGGATGAGCCAGAAGCATAACAATGCGGTATACTTTCTTATTGTTACCGAGACGAGGTGGTAATAACGCAAAACAAACCACTTAGCTTCCGTTTGTCCATGACAAGATAAATCAAGCTGGCGCATAACTCCCTGGTTGGTAGTCCTAAAAAGCAAAAAAGGTGCCCAAAGACACCTCAGATGATCTCAGAAATTTATTCAGACTGTCCAGGGCAAAACAACAGTGGCCCAAGCGACCGTCAGAGGATAAAAGCACGTGGTTATTAGGGTGCGTTTTCCCTAAATCGTTTTCTCTTGAAGTAAAGTGGGACCACTGTTCCAGTAAACACTGAGGTCTTAGACTACTCAAAGAAAAATAGAAATACGCCTGCACAGGACATGAATTAACAGCCAAATAGCTTCGTACCACGATCACTTACACCAAGTAGGCTCGCTGCTCCCTATGGTTTTGTTGACATGGTTGAACTCTAAGGAACGATCATCATAATCAGAGACAGCAATATCAGTTGATACTGGTGTATCACAGCTATAAAACCAAAGTTTAGCTATGTTTTAAAGCACTAGAGTTGGAAGGAAAAAAATGGGAGGGGGAAGAGGCCTGGTGCTGGCCCACAGCAAGTATTCTAAGGTGCCTAGACCTCCAACCGATCAACTAAACAATCTAGAAAGAAGCTGACAGCACGAATTCCAATGATCGATCAGCCGCCATCTCCTGCAATGTCTCCGGTCAAGTGCAAGGAGAGGTCACAGGGACCTTATCCTGACCGCATCAACAACATCTCAACTCTTCGTAATTTCTTTCACACCCTTCTTTGCAGTTTATGCCATTCTGAGCAGGCACAAAGAACACTCATGTCAGTAGACGACGATTCGGTATGCATAGCACATAGTAAACCCAATGTAGTTGATATTGCTGGATGTTTTCCGCGACTGAAGTGACTGCTGAGCAACCAAATATGCGTCTTCTAATTTCCTCGTTACGAATCCCATAGACGCCATTCGACATCCGCAACGCTTCTGACACGCAGATGGTCAAAAACCTCAAGACGCTTGACACAACCTGTCCGTAGTAGCCAGGTCTCAACCATACAACAGTACATCTCTTACTATAATCTGATATATGCGACGCTTTGGACTCTGATATACATTTTGGCGCCACAGGTGACGCAAATTAGCAAGTAACTCAAGTAATCAGTTATAAACCATGTAAGTAGGATAGGTTGGTTCTAGATGCTACATTTCCTATCACCATAAAATGGGAGAAATGGGGGAGACGTTGCCAAGCGTTGGGCGCGATTAAATGACCAGTTAGTTCGAATGACAGCTCTGATGGAAGAGCACCCCTGACTGCGTGATTAGGCCATGTCTGTTAGTGTCATTAACCACTTGTGGGTTGAGACCGGAGGTTTCCATCTAGAGAGGGATGACTTCCACTGAGTCTACTGGTTGGTGCTTTAATACTTCGTTGGTAGGTCACAGACTACCCACCTCTCGGTCACTTCTGTTCAAGAACGGTTGGCAAAAAAATTTATGCGTTGAAGCGATCATCTACCATGCGAAGTAGATGTTCCAAACAGCTTAATCTATCCATTGTAAGCGGCTCATCCATCGTGAAGTTCATTTTTTCCTAAAAACATGTATTGTACCTCAGCAGTCCTGATTCCCCCCCCCCCAGGCCAAAGCCAAATCTTCGGATAAACCGATGACCGATGACAATGAGAGCTCAGTAGTTACTGCGCCAAATTATTGACTAAAAAAGTCCGTGCTTCGAATCCAACCTCTGCACCTCAACTGTTGTGGGACAGGTTTGGGAAATATAAAAGTAGCTCAGCCGTTTGGCCTCCTTCAATCAGCATGCAAGATAGGCACCGAGATGCTACATCGGAAATAAAACCGTCATTTTGTATGTCTTCTGCGACTAAATGCCAAGTTGCACATCCATAAGGTGGTATGGGTCGCTCAACCTTATGGATGAGCAAGATGGCGAGATGGTCCAAGTGATTGGAGTGCGAATTTACCGACCGAAAGGTCCGTGGTTCAAACCCGGACTCTGTCTCTCGACTTTCCCTGTCTAGGCTTAGGCAACCTGGCAGTATCCCAGCTCTCGTGCAAGGGGACATGTAGTCAAGCACCGAAAGGCTATTGCAGCTTAACGATGGATCGCACCATCGCAGTATGGACTCTACCCTTGACAAACAGACTGACGTACGTAGGCACCATACATGCCCCAAGTTGGAAAAAGCTGCCTCGACCATTGCAATTCGAGAAGTTATCTCAGCTCCAGTCAGTTCACTGGAACTTATTTCATTGCCCAGGTAAACGAATTTACCTACCACATCTGCAAGCATGAGGTTTGGGATTCATCTCACCCAGTCTTGTAGCGGCACTTAACACCTTGCAGAAGTGGAGCGCATACCATACCATGCAACAGAATTTTTGGGCATTCAAAACGGTTAGCATTTTTGAAAAATCCGAACTAAGCAGGGAAATATGGTCCGCATACTCAGTGACTGTGAAAGAACACCTTGTCAGCATTTCTATCCCTGATGTTGTGGAGGAAGACGGAGAAGTTCAAAGCAGCACATCACTCCGTTGGACGTGAAGTCAGGCGAAAGCTTGTCGTATACTCGTACCCGTCCAAAGCAGTCACCATATAGTACCCTAATAAGAGATAGAAATCTGGGAGGGACACCCCTGATCACCAAACATCCGTTGGACAGTCAGGCGAAAGCTTGTCGTATACTCGTACCCGTCCAAAGCAGTCAAAATATAGTACCCTAATAAGAGATAGAAATCTGGGAGGGACACCCTTGATCACCAAACACCGCCAAATTTTCTGACGACCGACAGAGTCAAAAGCAGGTTTCTGATCAAGAACTGGTTTTAAAGTAAAGATATGGTCACGGATCACCAGCCATGACGAAACGAAGCTTTCTTCTCACGAGTTCTCTCTCGATAATCGATCTGCGCAAAATAATGCTAGGGAGTAGCTGGATGCCACGATGGTTTCTGTATGAAGTTCTTGCACCCTTCCCTGAAGAGTAGGATGGCAGTAGATGCGCTCCATTCCAACGGTATTGTTTTCGTAACAAAAGACCCGCACAATGGCATGACCAGAGTCAAGTTGCGTAACCCGGATGTACTCCATCGGTAGCCGATGGCCACATGGTCCAATTCAGTCTCCAAGCGGTCTCCAAGGGACTCAATGTGACCGTTTGTGCTGAAAGTTCGTACTGGTTAGGAATAGATAATGAGCAGCACACAACTAAACAAGACTATCCCCATTAACCGTACATTAAGCACCGACCACAAATCTACCGCCTAATTATGCTTCTTCTGGGCGAAATGGTTCAATAGTTAGAGGGCGAAGTTACTAGCCGGAGGGTCCGTGGTTCGAACCCGACCTCTACCTCTCGACTTTCCCTGTCTAGGCTTGGGCAACCTGGCAGTATTCCAGCCCTCGAGCTTCCTTCTAGTGACACGGTAGTTAGGCGCCGAAAGTGTGTTACAGCTGAATGATCAGACAAACTTTGTGCTTCTTCCAAGATTTGTCGTTTAACTTAGGCATTCATATCACTGCCAGGATTATTATATCCCTCCTTGCTGACCGAAACGGTCGCAACAGGTCTCGATAAAAACCCGTTCTTCTCAGTCTCAGAACTGCAGTTAGTCAGAGCATATGCTGATACGATAAACGAACACCGTTTGCCGTATCAACCTGCACTGATCTTGATTGAACCCGACAGCCGTACAATGCAAAGATGCCTGTTTACTGAAACTCAGTCCAGTAAAGCACTTTCAGCCTTGGGTTTGAGTTCACCTCCCACACCAGAGATACCATGAGCACGTGCGTCAGGATCACCAGAAACCCAAAGAGCTCTTCCTGAGCGGATTGAGGTGCACGACTGGGATGGTGCCCTTCGTGCTTGTATCGAAGACACAACATTGCATCAAGAGACAGGGAAAGCAAGTCTTCAGCAAATGATACATGAGGCCTCATTCGGCATACAGTACGGACGCTGAGGGCTGCAACCTGGTCATCATCATCACTCATCATTGTCAACTGTAATAACCGCGTACTCGTCGTACAGTGGTTGCAGCTGCCGCAGTTTCGTTCACCGATGGTTTCGGGGGGTAGGTGGCTGCGCGTTGCAGGCGGGAGCTGATAAATTGGTGCATAAATCCAGCACTGTCAGTGGGCTGTCAAGTGGGGGGGGGTTGGAAAGGGAGCTCTGCATTGAAGGCAATAGCTTGGATGCACGAGCGCCATTGAGGGCGCGACTGGGCCATATCTGACAATGTCTCTAGCCATTGATGTGGACCGTTTCGGGGTCCCGATCCAGGAAGAGGGCAATTACCAGCGCAGCTGCGTTTGCTGGTAATGGCTTTCGTACTTCGCTGCCAGGTCATTGTTTACGTACTTCAGATTGCTGATCCGGTGTTCCCACCAGATTCGGGCAATGCTCCGAAGACATCGATGGTCAAACACTGAAAGTCTTTTGACGTTCT